TTTTGTAAATTATATTATTTTGTTTAATTAGATCCACCGGGTCTTTTAGCCTACAGAGCTTGTCTCTGAGTGAGTTTGTAGGTTTGAATGCCACCCTAATTCCTGCTTTATTAAGAATCCTACGTAGGGCCTCAGATGTGCTTTCCTTATATGGTATAACAGTGGATGACTTATATTCTTTCTTATTTGTGTTATCATTAATAGTTTCACCATTATTTTTATTTTGCTTTTGGTTTTTGGTGATCTTCCTAATGAATTTTATAGGATAGTTATTCAACACCAACGCTTCTTCTATCTGTTTTATTTCATCATTTAGGTCTTTTTTTGTGCTACTTAGTGCTATGGCTCGATTTGTTAGACACTTTACTAAGCCTGCCTTAACAGTTAACGGATGAGACGAATTAAAGTCCAAATATCTATTAGAATGCGTTGGTTTTCTATAAACACTAGTGTGTAGTTTGCCTTATTCGTTTTATTTTACAATTTAACATAGCTACATTCTCCTAGTTCATTTTGATTCAAATGTGAATTTTAATATAACTAGTCTTTACACTAATATACCAGTCATTATGGCCTTAGAAGCAGTTAAAAAAGAACTAACTGCGGATCCTGAACTGAATCATAGGACAAAGCTGCCCATTGAACAAATTATGTTAGGGATTCAGTTATGTCTCACATCTACCATCTTTAAGTTCCAAGGCAAAATATATAAACAAACAGAAGGTGTAGCAATGGGATCACCAATATCCCCTATTGTAGCAGACATATTTATGGAAAACTGGGAAAGTAGTGCTCTTAATACGTTTAACCCCACTCCAAAAATATGGTGGAGATATGTGGATGACACTTTCACGGTGTTAAAAACAGAACATATCTCTAGCTTCCTGACACATATAAACTCACAAGTAGAAGGAATTAAATTCACATTTGAATCAGAAAATGAACTAGGAGAATTAGCTATGTTAGATTGTAAAATAAAACGAATAGAAGAAGGCAAACTACACACTAGTGTTTATAGAAAACCAACGCATTCTAATAGATATTTGGACTTTAATTCGTCTCATCCGTTAACTGTTAAGGCAGGCTTAGTAAAGTGTCTAACAAATCGAGCCATAGCACTAAGTAGCACAAAAAAAGACCTAAATGATGAAATAAAACAGATAGAAGAAGCGTTGGTGTTGAATAACTATCCTATAAAATTCATTAGGAAGATCACCAAAAACCAAAAGCAAAATAAAAATAATGGTGAAACTATTAATGATAACACAAATAAGAAAGAATATAAGTCATCCACTGTTATACCATATAAGGAAAGCACATCTGAGGCCCTACGTAGGATTCTTAATAAAGCAGGAATTAGGGTGGCATTCAAACCTACAAACTCACTCAGAGACAAGCTCTGTAGGCTAAAAGACCCGGTGGATCTAATTAAACAAAATAATATAATTTACAAAATACCCTGCAATAACTGTGAGGTCAACTACATAGGTCAAACTAGTAGGTCAGGGATAGTCAGATTAACAGAACATAAGAATTTAGCTAAGGTAAGAATGGTTGACCCTAAAAAGATAAGTAATTTAGAAAAAAGCTCAGCTATTGCACTTCATGCAATAACAAACAACCACACAATAGGGTGGGATAGGGTTAAAATTCTAAAAAGTAATATAGCTAAGTGGAGAGAGAGGTTGATTACGGAATCCTTATTTATCGAGTCCACACCCAACACATGCAACAAAAATGACTCAATGCAAATACCAGAGATATGGAAGATATTATTACCGCAGGTCAAATCAGAAGAAGGTAATAAATAATATTAAAATTCTATTTCGATTCAAACACATCACAACATCCTAACAAAAAACTTATTATGACTATTAAAACACTTGTCGTATCTTCCATCTGATTATAGTAGATCAATAACACTCGTATTAATGCCATCAGTCAAACCAGAAGAAGATAATAAATAATCTTAAAATTCTATTTCAATTCAAACACATCCTAACAAGCAGCTTATTATGACTGTAAAAACACTCGTCCAATTTTCCCATCTAATTGCAATTGATCAACAACACTCGTACGATTATTTCTGAATGTACATTATCTCACATTGATTTTTAATCCAATATCTAATCCATTCCACATATGTATATAAATGAGAGATCAAAGTTGTGTGAGTAACTTGATATGATTATGAGCAATAGTTTGTGCTCGAAACGTCATCAGTTCATATAACTGTAAACACTGTGCGATTTATCAGAATAAAATCTTATCTATAATGGAATTACATAGGTCAAACTAGTAGGTCACGGGTAGTCAGATTGTCGGAACATAAGAATTTAGCTAAGGTAAGAATGGTTGACCCCGAGAAGACAAGTAATTTAGAAAAAAGCTCAGCAATTGCAATGCATGCATCACACACACACACAACCACACAATAGGGTGAGAGAGGGTTAAAATTCTAAAAAGTAATCTAGGTAGGTGAAGAGAGAGGTTGATTACTGAATCCTGTCTGGTTCATCGAGTCTACACCAAGCACATGCAATAGGAATGAGTCATCACTCATACCTGAAATATGGAAAATATTACTACCAATCAAATCAGGTGGAAATCAAGTGAAAAATAATGGAACTATATGAATGAAGTTCGGAAGTCGTGTGAGTAGGTGCTTTGATATGATTATGAGCAATAAATTGTGCTCGAAACTTTGTCATCAGTAAACATTACTGTATAACACTGTGAGACTTTATCAAAACAAAATTTACCCATAATGGTATAAGTAGGTGTGATAATATTCAGAAACAGGCGCACACACACATACACACATATCCAAATGAACACTAAACAACTGGATCAACTCTGCCCATTCATTCATTTAAAAGAAATAACAGATTTTACTTTTGATTACAGAAATAGTTTAATCTGTTCTCTTAGTATTACAAAAGGCAGTAAGGATATAATAATAATAACCCAAAGAAGTTTTGGGTACTATAACAGGGTTGATTGACTGATGAAGAATAATCCTGTAAAACAAATAATAAAACAATGTTAACATAGATTTACAAATAATCATGTGATAAGAATGCTTCTTAAATTTGTGTTATACTTGAGATAAATCAAAAAAGGTCGACTTCGTCATGTACTGATGTCAGATAAGGAGGTACTGATGCTAGGCAAGGAGGGGAAATCAATCGACGAGGCTGTGAAATTACATCAAATGAGATGGTTAGGACATGTGTTACGTATGCCTAGTCATCGCCTTCCTCGACAACGGGCAATGTTAGTTGACATAGGGTCAGTCAGGCTGGAAAAGAGCTAGCACGTGGTGGTCAAACCAAAACATGGCTTCACCAGTCAACGAAATCCACAACAGTTAGTTTAAGCCAGCCACGTAGGAAGGTGTAGACTTCCTGACTGGTTGGGGTCGTCGGGAAGGTAAAATACCAATGAAGGATGAAGACAATTGGTGATATGGCTTAAAATCGTTCTCAATGACTGGCCTGTGCGGATGCATCCACTCCTTGTGACTGATGATTTCCAATGAGACTGTTTTGTTCTTCGTTATTCCTATTCCTTTGTCTCACATTTCTGTTTACTATCTGTATTATGCATTTCTTCTACTTTCTTCTCTTGCTTTCTGTGCTACATCGAGGGAGTGTGGCGACTCGAACTGTCGCACATCAGTGCAAAGTTCTATGTCAAAAATAGACAGACAGACAGACAGACAGATGCCCTATTCTGTACTGCGAGCACATAGGAATCAAAACATATTACCGTCATTCTTGTTTTGTTTTTCTTCTACTTTGTTGATGTGATACATAGGCTGGAGCAGTCAACGTTCCATCAACAGGTGGTTCAGCGTTCGAATCTTGCTGCCTCTACTTTATTTTTGGCGAATGGATGGAGTACGATGAGCCCTCAAACAGAATAAGTCTAATAGATAACTCGTTACACCGGATAACGGTGTTCATTTAACCAGTGACCTACTGTTTTTTTACACTAGTACATTATATATTGTTCTATGGAACTTAGCAAAACCGTTGGTTATAATCTCGATCAATGATTTCCTACCTCGATCTTGTTACCCAGGGATTAGACTGCTGGCTCGAATCGTCACATGATGAAAGTTTTCACTTAAGTTGTTGTTTCTTTTCCCTGATCAATTAAAAGTGCTCCTTAGTTTTATAGGATTTTAGATGATGGCGAATTAGTTACAAGATTTCTTCATGAGCTGATATCAATTAGAGAGAGAACCACTGGAAAACCTGGGAGTACTACACATCTGTTACGTCCTAGTTCGGGACGTCCTAGTGACCACTCAACACCCTACTATGTCAGGTTGCATTGCTTGTCAAGGGAAGGCAGTGGTTCGGCATGCGCTTTACGTGTCCCAGCCACATCTATCGACTTACGTACCCTCCTCATCTAATACTCTACACCTAACGTCAATATCGTTCACCCCTTCACACGGTAGATAGAACGCAAACATCTGTCGTCGAAGACATCTAGCATTTTTATATCTTTCGCTTTCAGTGAACATCTCTTACAGCCATAAATAAGGACAGTACACATGTAATATGGATAGTACATGTGTAGCCTAAGTGGTTAAATGGTCGGCTCATTGGCCTCGTAACTTAAAGGTTCGAGTTTCAACCCTTGGTTGTGCAACGTTGAAGAGTCCCAAACTATCAGTAAACATCACTTTTGGCTGTTTTGTGAACTTTAACAGACAACCTGTATTAGTCTCTACACTGCTCAGGAATTTCAAACTAGAATGTAAGAAATATTAAACTTTCTGTGGTTTCGAATATTCTTTTGTCTGTTGACTGCTTTGATATACAATCGATGTTTAATGTTTTTATCCTTAATTCTTGCTTATTTTAATGTTGTTGTTGTTTTTTTTTTAATTTCAAGATACGTATATTTTCTTATGAATTTGAATGAATCGATGGTTAGTTTCTAAACCTATTGCCGCTTTCTTCTCATTTGTCTTTGCTTTTTAGACCAATAAAAAAGAGATCTCGTCTACGTCTACTCTATGTAACACCAGAGAAATTGGCTAAAAGTAAATTGTTGTTGAATCGTTTAGAGTTGGCTTATACCACTCATCGACTGGCGTGTATTGCTATCGATGAAGTTCATTGTGCTAGTCAATGGGGTCATGATTTTCGACCAGATTATAAATTTCTACATGTTCTGCGTCGACAATTTCCCAGTGTACCAATTATCGGGTTGACAGCGACAGCATCAGCTCAAGTTATTGTAGATGTGCAGAATATGCTGGGTATTAATATTGATAAGTGCTTAGTCCTCAGAACTAGTTATAATCGAGAAAATCTGAATTATTACGTAAGTCATTCAGAAAATTTTTTTATTGTGTATTTAAAAACTACATATAGTCGTCTCTTTCAAGTCTGACGATGGACTGATATTAGCTGGAGAACCATTGGAAACCAGGGAATTACTGGGTAGCTGTTTCGTCCTAGTCCATGACTCATTGACAGTATGCTCCCACTAGGCTTCGAACCCAGGACCTTCCGGTTACAAGGCAACTTAGTGGTCTACGAGCTAACTCGCCTTGTAACCAGAAGGTCCTGGCTTCGTACCCTGGCGGTGGGTGCTTACTACTGAAGAGTCCCAAACTAGACTGACGAAACAGCTGTACAGTACTCCCTGCAGGTGTTTTCCAATGGTTCTATAACTGATGTCAACTCATGATGAAATCCTCCAACATTTTGATTCATTTCGACGCCTTCGATTATTCTTATGACTCCTAGGAGAGACGATATATTACTATCTGTTATTATCGACTGTCAAAATAAGAGTTAAGAGTAACAGTGTGTCCCGTGTTCGAGTCTCACTCCGTCTACTCCATTCCAGAGGAACTAGGTTGTATCATCCTCCTCCACATAATAAGTGTCGCTCATAACTTAGTACATTGAAAAATCTGTTCCTACTAATGGAATCCAAACTAGCTAAATAATATATGTATTGGGCGAAGTCCAACTTTGGACATACCCAAGAGGTGTGGCTGCATCTATCGTCTTGGAGTGAACCGTTGAGCTAAACAACAATTTTGGGCCTCTTACCCAATTCTTTGCCTTTAATATCATCACACTGCCATGCTCTGAATTAGTGTTTCAAAGCCATTGTTATCTTTGAACCAAAGAGAGCCAGGGTGAATGCGATCTAGAGTACACAGATTTATGATCCAGTCAACAGGAGTCATTCCAGGAAGTGGTGATTGTGTTGCAAGATATCAAGAGGATGTCTTTGACTGGAAGGCATAGGTTGTTATCGATGAGCGAGACTGTGCTGTGGGTATTCCTGTGATGTGCTGGCCTTTCCAAATGGCATGGATCCTTGACCTGTGTCCTGCACGTATGGAACTCTTCTGAAATTGTGTGAGTCATCCTCCAGTGTTCGGTGATGAATATTGTGGCTAGGAATTTTGGGGAATTATTTACCGCTGCACCCCTCTCCAAGTAGTAATAATTAATAATAATACTTTAATTTATATTTCTTATAAACAGGTTGGTTTACAAGAAATGCATCCCATTTTTACAGGCACGATAAGAAATGTTTTAAATTACAATCCTGGATTATCATATAATAATGTCACCATCAAAGTTGAGTGACAACCCAAACTTCGTTCTGTTTGCTGCTGATAATTATGGCAACCAGTGGGCAGCTTATAACTGGGTGAGTGCTATGCTGCCACGTTATTCAATGCTATTTCAAGAAGAGAAGAAAATTCTGCCCAGCTGCAAAATGGTGTACAATGCGATTATAAATAATACATTATTGGAGGTATATTTACAAGATCAATACAAGAAGAAGCTTATTAGTTCTTGAAATGATAGCATACATTTGCAATGTGTAACGCCAACCATAGTGGTCTAAGCATGGAAACTATGATGTTTTCCATGAAGATTTAGCTTTGTTCAAACATTGGTGCTGTTGTGTTCTTAGACAAAGCAACCAGACTTTGGGCAAGCAATATGAACAAATAGTAAATTTAGCTTTATTAATGGCCCAGGTAGTTAACACAAGGTAGAGTATAATAGTGGGTAAATAAAAACATTATCGGGGGCGATTTCAACTTGTCAGAAGTATCATGGTCTTCACTCCGAGGACCCCAAAGGTATGATAATCTCATAAATTCCATCATCACAGGAGGCTGGACACAACACATAAATTCACCCACTAGATCCGCAAATATCCTAGACCTTATTTTCACGAACAACATAACGCCATCTACAGTACATGTGGGACAGGAATTTCCAGGTAGTGACCATAGAATAGTAGTTTGTTCTTTTGACATCTTTCCTGAAACAAAACGCAGAGATGAAGCTGGCCAGATACATATGAGATTGTACACACATGCTGACTGGGACTTGTATCAGCACCTAATTAGATGTTCTAATTGGGACTCGTACTTTTCGAACCAGTCCTTAGATGCAATTCTTAACAACTTCTATCAGAATATTAACTCAATTCACGACGTCATTGCACCCGAGAAGATTCTTAACTTCAGATTCCCCCAAAGTGATTATATTCCGACATCGTTTAGAAGAAGTCTACGAAAGCACTCAATAAAATACTACAGATATCATGACTTATCGTCATTAATTGCCATTACGTCCCTTCTCAGTAGAATTGAAGACTTGAGAAATATAGGCCTCAGAAACAAAGAAATGCAGGCCATTCATGCACCGCATAACTCATGAGAAATAGCCAAACTTTTTAAAAGTAGGTTGACGAACTCCAAAACACCCTATCCGAAAATGATATACTTAGACGGCATTGCTTACGAAAATAGTGAAGCGATATGCGAACTGTTTAGCAAGCACTTCGCCAGATTATACACCTTAGAGAACGATGAGGTCGTGGATTTCCCACGTAAAACAGACGAATGTTTAAGTGACATAATTTTCACCACACATGAGATCGATAAAGCTGTCGCAAATCTTAAGCTTAGTAACACTACTGGCCCAGACGGCATATCTTCCGTTCTGCTGGAAAAAGGTGGTAATGACATGAGTTTACTCTTACTCAAGTTATACTCAATTTCATTAGGCTATGGGACATACCCTAACTGCTGGAAGAAGTCTCATATTGTACCTATCCACAAATACGGGCTTATAGCTGATATCAACAACTACCACCCCATCAACATCACGTCTGTAGTTTCACGTGTAATGGAAAAGATAGTTAAGACTCAAATCATTCAGTACTTGCTGTCAAATGACCTACTATCCCCATCCCAATACGGTTTCTTAAGTAGAAGGTCGTGCATAACTTGCCACTTAGATTATTTTGACTACATTACACAAAGCATTGATAATGGGCGTTCGGTAACAACATTGTTTCTCGACGTTAGCAAGGCCTTCGATAAAGTCCCACATATCAGACTCCTAACAAAACTCCAATCATACGGAATAACCGGAAAGCTTCACAAATGGATAAGTTTTTTTCTCACAGAAAGACAGCAATTAGTCAAAATCAACCACCAGTTGTCTTCCTCAAAGCCGATAACCAGTGGTGTAATACAAGGTAGTGTTCTTGGCCCTATTCTGTTCCTCTTATTTATAAATGACATAGTCTCTGTAATCAAGTATGGCAAGCCATACCTTTTTGCAGATGATCTCAAGATAGTATATGATTATGGGTACGGTGATATGAGCGTCGAAAGCAAGATCCAACAAGACTTAAATGATCTAGGCGATTGGAGCGAAAAGTGGCAACTGACTTTCAACCCAGACAAGTGCGGTATAACCCACCTTGGACGCTGGAAACCGATAATGTGCATATATATGTACGGTAAGCTCCTCTCAAAACTGAACACAGTCACAGATCTCGGGATAACATACTCAGATTTATCCTTTTCCGATCATGCAAACAAGGTTGTATCTGACTGTAAACGACTTACTGGCTTTGTACTGCGTAACTTCTACACCCAAGAAGCAAGATTAGCTATATATAGGACATGTATCCGTCCCAAACTTGAATATTGTGCTCTCCTATTTAGTAACCTCAGGACTGTAGACAGAAAAAAAATCGAAAGTGTCCAGAGATTCCTCATGAAACGCATAATAGGGTTCGACCAACAAGTGGAATATGTTGACAGGTGTGTACGTCTGAAATTAGAGCCTCTGTGGTTAAGGAGAGTGAAGTGCAACCTATTTCTACTCTTCAAAGTCATTAGGAAACATTGCTACAGTAACTCATCCATAACGTGGGAAAATAATAAATCATATCAGCTGCGAAACCACGACTACCTTGTCAAGGTGGCTACCCACAGAAAATCCATTAGGGCAAACTTTTTCACCATAAAATATTCCACGCTTTGGAACCAACTACCACCTGAAATAAGATGTTGTGAAAACCCTGATGGGTTCAAGCGGAGCCTAGAAAGACACTTTAACATGTCCACCCTAGCTCGTCTAAAAGACCACAACTGTTGGTAGAACGGAAATTGACGGCCAGTCCAGTCTTCAGTATAGTCACATACGTATATCTCGACTCTAATACCCACGCAGCGAACGTTAACTAAATTACTGATTTCTATTCTCTATAGTTTTCACTAAGTTGTGTTGGTAAAAGTAACTGGAAATAATTATAATAGCATCCACACCTTTTAACGTTTTACATATGTATATACTAATATAATAATACTTATTAATCATGCGTGTTCAATTCTTAAAATTAGATTGTTATTAAAATACTTTTGCATCACATGTTCTCTTGCTTTACCACGCTTGTTTCCCTTATAACACTCAATTATTGAGCCTAGTGTATTATTTGATATACGAATTATATTATTGATTATACTCTTATCATATATGGTTTGATTTACTCTACGGCTCCCTGCAGACTAACTACCATTCTTCAGTATACACACACTGCAGTATTGTTAACCAAATGCCAAAATTTTGTTGGTTCTATGTTAATATCTTTTTATAATATGTCTAGACACGTTACTTTGCAATGTCAGATGTTTACTATATATAAGTACTCTAAGTCCTGCCAACCGACCTTACCTTCAGTTCATACTACCTAAATTGAACCCTAACTATAGTGTTCTGCTAAATCTTGCACCACTATTCACAATACCTATTCGTTTTACTCTTTAAGTTTTTGACTTCTTATAAAGTAATCTGTTCATTAGGATGCATGCACACATACATAATATGTTCATAAAGATGTACGTGGAGACCTATTGGAAGCACTCATTAAGAAAGCTAGGGAGATGGAATATGGGGTACGAACATGTCTGGTACCAAGCAATATATTTGCGGTAGCCATAATAATCGTAGTCTCAGAGTCTGACATTATAAAAGGAGGGA